AAGAAAACAGGCTGTTTCCAGTTTGTTATTATGCAAAACAATGCCATTACAATTGTTTCTGTTTTAAACATGAAGGCTGAACTTCCACATCTAGGTAATTGGAACCGTGTTTATCATGAATTGTGTAACTTATTTTTTGCTGGAGCCTAGCTATTCTTTTGCTAGATTTATTGTTGAATAGTTTCTTTCTTTTTTTTTTTTTACTATATTTGTGGGTTTTTTAGAGACAGTGTTTATCTGGAACTTTCTCTGTACACTAGGCTAATCTCTAATAGAAATCCACCTCCCTCTTCCTCTCTAGTGCTGAGATTAATGATGTGCGCCACCAACTCCTGGCTGTATTATATGTTTTTAAATTTAAAACTTGTATTATGTGTCTTATGACATACAGAAATTGATGGATTTGTATTAGTGTGCATTGATTTTACAAAACAGTGCATTTGATCACGACATTATCGTGAATGCATGTAACACAGTTTGATCAAATTCACTCACCATCACCCTCTTTGATGCACCCTGTGTCCTCCTCATGATTCTCTTTCTCTTCCCAAGTTGTCCTATTGCTTCTTCATGTCCTCGCCCCTCCTTAGATGAGGAAAACATGACCTTTGTCTTTGGAGTCCTACTTATTTCATTTAAGATGACCTCCAATTTTCATGTTTTCTGGCCAATGACATAATTTATTCTTCCACATATACACCATATCTTATTCATTCATCCATCCACTGACAGACAGGCATTTGTTGGTTCTAATTTTAGTTTTTTTTTTAAGATCCTACAAGCTGAGGTAGGCTGCTCCAATACCCCCATTCCATCCATTGTACCCAGAAAGTTATAAGTCCCACTCTGCTGCCAAACAATCCTATCTTCTCCCCACAACCTCAGTGAATCTCTGAAACACAGCCTGCTATTACACAGCGAGTACCAAGAGGTGAGTGACCACACACTCAGTGGGACATCCCACTCTCTTGGCCCTCTGAACCTGGGCAAAACCCCAGGCCCCTCCCCTACCTGCCTTAACTTCTCTAACCAGCCAGCAGGCAAGGTTCCTGCAGGTAGGCTGCTCCAATACCCCCATTCCTTTCATTGGACCCTGAAAAGTCCCACTCTGCCTCCAAATCCTCCTATACCCCCAACAACCTCATTGTAACTCTGAAACACAAGCTGTAACTACACAGAGAGGACCAAGAGAAGAAGAAGCACAAGCTGTGACTGCACAGAGCGAACCAAGAGAGCGAACCAAGAGAGCAGGCCAAGAGAGACCTCCATGGCTCTCTGAGACACAGACAGTGACAGTACAGAGCTGAAGGTGTAAAGTTACAAAACAATCCTACACCGGTTCAGAATTATGGATAATAAAAGTGTATTTATTTAAGGGGAAAACTTGCAGATCACTGCCCTAGACAACATTCCTCTGAGTGAACATGAATAGAGTGTAGCAGCCAGAAGCAGACCATGCCCAAGGGACTTTTAGGGAACCTATTCTCTTTGGATGGATACCTTGCTCAGTTTAGCTATAGTAGAGAGGGCATTGGACCTTCCCCAAAGCAATGTGCCTTACCCTTTCTGAGGAATGGATGGAGGGTAGAGTGGGGGATAGTTGGAGGGAATGTAGAGAGGGGAGGCACAGGGAACTGGTATTGGTATGTAAAATAAAAATGATTGTTTTATTTTTTAAAAAGAAAATAAAATAAATTAAAAAAATTACAAGCTAATTTTCATATAGGCTGTGCTAATTTCCATTCCCATAGGTTGCCTTTCCTCTGGATACTCATCAGCACTTGTTATTGTTGATGTTCTTGATGACAGTCCTTCTTGAGTGGAGTGAGATGAAATTTCAAGGAAGGTTTGATTTGCATTTCCTGCTGGCTAGTGATGTTGAACATTGTTTTTCATATTTTTTTAGTCATTTGTACTTTTTTCCCTTAAAAAGTCTTTAAATAATTTGACAATTTATTCCTTTGATTTTTACTTTTAAATTCTATTATATATGTATTCTATAATGGATAGCTACTTGGTATCATTCCTGGTCACATTTACAACTGTCCATCTGATCAAGTGTATGATGCCTGCAGGAGTTGGATGGGGCAGTTGCTCTTTTATACAGATGATCTTTGCCTGCACTTGGATAATAAGTTTATTGGGGGATGGATATGATGCTATAGTATCCACAGTGGTGAACTAAATGCTTGGCTTCTAGCCTGAATCTCCATTAGTCTAGGCGTCTGTCCCTGTAAGAGTCTCTGCTGTCTTGTCTCTGTGTGAAGAAAGGTTTAATTTTTTTGGCAGAGATAAGGAAGAGCAAGATGTGATGGGAAAATCAGCTTCCCATTCAAAGGATGAGGGTTCTTTGAGGGTAGGGGACATTGCAAGAATGTAAACACCTCTTATAATATTTTCCTTGAACTTTTTTGGAGAGATGGTCATGCCAATGTCTCTGGTCAGCATGTTATGCCTTCCATCCTCCTATAATATAATTCCATCTAGGATAGATGCAGTCTATGACAAGATGACACTTTTATGGAGGAATTGTACTACAGAATGCATTTCAATGAGATTGTAATGAATCTGGGGGTGAATAGCTGGTCAGCATAGAAATGGAACCTGTTCTGCCTGGTCCCAGGCTGTCTTGTCTGCCTGCCTAGTCAGGAGATATGTCTGAAACAGAACTCTGTCAAAAACATTTTTTTCCTCAATGCTACCTGTAGTATCCCTTTACTATTATACATCAGAAACACCATCAAGGGTCTGAAGATTAAAAATCAACAGCTTAGATTATTTCCAAAAAGTTGTACTGAACAGCAATGTACATAGTAGTAAAGCCAAATTTACAAGGACAATGTGAAAGAATAAGTGACTTCAAGATTAGTAGAGTGTACAACACTTTAATTGGGGAATTTGAAAAATAATTATGTATCACCCAAAATGTACTTAGGTAGTCCAAAACAGATATACAGAGTTGGAGAGACATACCTGTACTTGTTGATGATACCTACCTGAGCATAAGACAGAGGAAGGACAACTTTGATTAGTCTTACAGATATTCAGGAAAGAATGAGAAAATTGGTTACATATCATTTCCAATAGCTAACTTACTAAATATTGGCTATATAGCATTCCTTGTGGGAGAACATTCCATTTGTATCTCTTAAAGCGCTGATAATTATTATAAGTAGGCATTGTGAAGGCAAATTTTTCTGTCTTTTTCTCATAAAGGTACAGTGAAGAAACAATCTTTTAAATTAATAACTGTAAGAGGCCATCCTTTAGGTAATAGAGAAGGCAAAGGAATGCCAGACTGTAGAGAACCCACTGACTGAATTACCTTATTAACAGCTATAGATCTGTCACCATTCTCAATTTTCCAGATTTAAAAAAAATACAGGAGAATTCCAAGGGCTGGTGTCATATGGGTTGCACATGAATGTTCTGCCTGCATGTATGTGTGTACAGCACATACACAGGGATGTCGGAGGAGGGCATTGGGTGCCTTGGAACCAGAATTGCAGGTGGTTGTGAGTTGTTATGTGGATGCTGGGAAATGAACCGAAGTTTGTACTCAAAAGCAATTTGTGCTCTTAACCACAGTGCCATCCCTGTAGCCCCAGAAGCTGGAACTCTTGCACAGCAGTAAGAAATGAAGAACAGCAGGTGTGCAGAAATTTACAAAGACTGCTCAAAAAAATTAAAGGTAGTTTATGACCCAGTAGCCATATCTCAGGATATTTGTTCAAGTTAATTAGAATCAGAATCTTCTTTTAATTTAAATTTTTATTTTTAATTGTGCCCATTTAGTGAATGTAGTGAGGGAATCTGCGAAATCCTTTAAGTATGTCATGGACTCATGTACAACTATAGATCTGTCACCATTCTCAATTTTCCAGATTTTTAAAAAAAAAAACAAATACAGGAGAATTCCAAGGGCTGGTGTCAAATGGGATGTACATGAATGTTCTGCCTGCATGTATGCGTGTACAGCACATACACAGGGATGTCATGATGATATCTGCTCTTCCATAGCTTCTTCCCTCACTAGTTGTCATCTTGTTCAGAGAAAATCTATAGATTTTGAATTTTCTCTGTAAAATCTTGGGTTTATAAGTGAGAACACTTGCTTGATAATTTTTTGAGTTTGGTTTATTTCATTCAACAAGATAATCTCATATGCAACCATTTTCTAGTAAATGACATGGTTGAAATTATAATCCTAAAATGATACCCACACTTCCAAGTTTATGCTAATCCCATTAACAATTGTTAAGATGTAGCTGAATCTTAGATACTCTTTTACATGCAAATGTATGAGGAAAATATGACATGTAAGCTATTGCTATATATGACTCACCAAAATGATTTTTATAAAGCCAGATAGCAAAGGAGAGAACAGATCCTTGGTTTACTGAAGCTGAGGGTGGAAGTTCTAGGAAAGAGGCAATCACTGGTTATTAAATTTCAAATTTTGCAATATAAACCTTCTATGTATCTATTGTTCAACACCATGCTTTTGTCACTGATGCAGGGGGACCAGATGGAACATTTAAAATTCTATTGAATATGTAGATTTTTCATTAAATGACTCATCAAAATAAAATGACAGACACTATGGAATGATCATAGCACAGAGTTTATTAAAATTGATTGCTTTCAGAGACACATATCATGAGTGAGCAGAAAGAAGAAAATAGTACCTAATAATCTAGGGGTGATTCAGAAGAAAATACAGTTGATAAAATAACTTGTTAAATCAAGGTTTATTTGGGGGAAAATGTTTCCTTAAGTTATTTGGTGAAAAATATAGAGATAGAGATCATGACTCAGAATTTAGAGTGATACCGGACATTCAATTCAGCCCCCCATGAAGATGGCACAAGATCCATAATCTCTGGATGAGGAGAGAGAGGGTGAGGGATTCCATCCTTCCTCACAGCATTTCCCACAGTTAAGTAAGATTTTATATTCCACAGGTTTTCTGGTGAGAAAATAAAGGTGGTCTTCAAATGTTAATGTGTGACTCTTGCATCTAGGGCATTTCTGCTCTCCTCAGAGCATGGCTGTGCAGATGTTCCTTTGGGGAGCTGGTCAGCAGCAGCAGGGCTGGCAGNCTTGCATCTAGGGCATTTCTGCTCTCCTCAGAGCATGGCTGTGCAGATGTTCCTTTGGGGAGCTGGTCAGCAGCAGCAGGGCTGGCAGAAGGGTGTGCTGCAGCTGATGATCACACAGGTTGGTTTAAGAGAGGTGGTCTTGCAGCTGCTGGTTTCACAGCATGTAGGTTGGCAGCAGAGCTGGAGCAAGCATGGCTGGCAACAGGAGGGCACACAGCAGCAGGGCTGGCAGCAGGTGGGCATGCAGCAGATGTTCACACAGGTTGGTTTGCAACAGGTGGTCTTGCAGCAAGTTTTTTCACAGCAGGTTTTTTCACAGCAGGTGGGCACACAGCAGCAGGGCTGGCAGCAGCTGGGCACACAGCAGCAGGGCTTACAGCAGAGTATGCTGCAGCAACATGGGGGACAGCAAGGCTGGCAGCAGACTGACTTGGGGCAGCTGGATTCATTGCAGCAGGGCTGGCAGCTGGTGGTCTTGCAGCAGGTGGTCTTGCAGCAGCATGGCTCACAGCAAGGTGGGCAGCAACAGAGGGCCATGGTAGCAGGTGTGGAGGGTTTTACTCTGTTCACAGGTGAGTGTCCAACAGTGTAGTAAGTTCTTCCAGTCATGCCCTTTTATACTATGGTCCTCCAATTCTTGGGCCAATCAGAGAGACTCTTCCTCTTTGTTTGCCATTTCCATATTTAATTTGTGTTCATGGAGAAGGACATTCTCATGTAATGCTCTGAATCATTTGAAAGCATTCATTTCTTATTTTGGGATAGCTAACTTGAACACTGTCCAATAACTCAATGGTTCATCCTATCAACTTTGTTGTAACTCCTATTGTCATCTGGTCATTTGGTAGCTTTTACTCTATGGGAAGGTCAAGATTCCTTTGTTCTTACAACTTTCTTCTGCCATCTGTGCTTAGTTTCATAAATGTCTCTGTGCATAAGATTTCTGTATTCATAATGATGGACTCAACACCTAGTTCTCTGTCTGTTTTCTCATAAAGCCCAGTTCCAAACTGTCCCACGGAGGTATCAATCTCTATAAAATCTTACCCCTGTGTTTCTTGGCCTCACTAAAGGTGGTTTGAAATTAGGGTGTCTTCCAGGTACCTGGGTACCTGGAAGCTTGCTTAGCATGAAATTCTGGTACTTCTTTTGTAGGAGTCTAGTCCTTCTGTTACTATACTTATTCTTGGATAGCTTCTTTTTTAGCCCTATATGTGTTTTTGTTTGTTTGTTAGTTTTTCATTTGGTTTCTTAGCAGAGTAGAACCAGAATTGGCGATTATAGAAAGTGTGCATTAGGAATAAGGAGGCATCAGCGGAGATGTGGGTGGCCATCAGTCCTGAATGACTGTCTTCTCCTGGGAACTCTTGGAGAGGAAGCACGTAGATCTAGACAAAGGAGGCTGAGTTGGTGACTCCAGTTCACACTTGGCTGTCTGCAGGGGGAGTGACCTTAGACTGGTGATCTCCTAATTTCCTTTTGCTGCCTGACTCTCTTTTCTTTTATCCCCATCCCTCTCTGTCTGGACTTTCTCCTTCATTTTCTTTCCTACTCTACCTCTTTTCTTTCCATTTAGTGATAAAATTATGTTTATTTGAATGTACCTAATTTATTACCTAATTTATCTATGGGGAATATGATGTGTATCTCTGTCTTTCTTACTCTTTCTCCCTCATTCTAGTCTACTGTTCATACTAAAAATACATAGATAATTAATTTCCCATTTGAGAGAATAAATGGTGAACACAGCCACAGAATTATTAAATAATTGGAAATTAACTTTGGTCCTTACAAACCATTTCATGTCACTCATCCTCAATTGCTGTTTATCACTCTCTTAGAGGGTCAGTCTTCCAACACTGGCATCACTTTTAACATCTTTGCAAATCAAAATTTGTCTACGTCTTTAATCATAAGATGATTATGACAGTCCTCACCATCCCGACCCTCAGTTTCTTTATTCTCATTCCTTCGTAATATACTATAGATGGAAGTTTCTGTCCTGTCTAATCCTGTGGCCATTCAGTCCTAAATAAACACACTGAGGCTTATAGTAATTATAAACTTTCTGCTCATGCTTATTATTAACTATCTCTCACAACTCAAATTAACCCATCATTCTTATCTATGTTTAGCCATGTGCCTTGGTACCTCTTCTCAGTAAGACATTCTCATTGGCTTCTGACTCGTGAGTTCAACTCTGCCTTTCTTTTTCATAGAATTCTCCTAGTCTGATAGCTCCATCTATACTTACTGCCTGGCTATTGACAAATAAGGATTTATTAAACCAATATGAGTTTAAAATCTTTACAGTGTATAAGAGCATTATCCCGTAACAATATACCACTAAATGAATTTGACATCACTTATTGATTGAAATTTTTCCCAAGAAAATAGGTTGTTTACAGTTTGAGACTATTCAAAACACTGCAGCTACAGTTGTTTTTGTTTTAAACACTATGAATGGACATACATACCTGGGTACCTGGAAGCTTGCTTAGCATGAAATTCTGGTACTTCTTTTGTAGGAGTCTAGTCCTTCTGTTACTATACTTATTCTTGGATAGCTTCCTTTTTAGCCCTATATGTGTTTTTGTTTGTTTGTTAGTTTTTCATTTGGTGTTTTTGAGGCAGGGTTACTCTGGGTAGTCCTGGCTATCCTGGAACTAACTCTGTAGACCAGGCTGACCTTGAACTCACCAAGATCCACCTGTCCCTACTTCACTAGTACTGAGATTAAAGGTGTTGTCTGTCCATATTGTCAAGTGTTTACTCCCTATAAGAATTGGATTGAGGTGGTTTCTCTTCAACAAAGCTGATCTTTGCCTGCATTTAGATTGAAAAAGGTTATTGGGGGACAAACATGATGCTACGGCACCCACAGAGATGCACTCTATGGTTGACTTCTAGTCTGAATCTCCTTTAGTCCAGGCTTCTGTCTCTGTAAGAGCCTCTCTTCTCTTGTTTGTGCGTGAAGAAAGGTTTATTTTTTGGTAGGGGTAGGTAGGAGACAGAAATGATGGGCCAATCAGCTTCTCTTTCAGAGGATGAGGGTTCTTTAGGATAAGGGGGCAGAGCGAGTTTTATAGTACCAAAGAGTTACACAATAGCCCGGAATGAATATAACAAGGTTTTATTTATTTGGGGGATAAGCTCACAGTAAGGGTAGCTATCCACAATTCCCTGCATGTGCTGGGAACTGGAACAGAATCCAGCAGGAAAAAAAGGCTGCTTATGTTTTTCATCCGCACTTATAGTACATGAGACCATAGCCAAAGTTGGCCGGTATCTTAAAGGCTATTGGCTGATAGTGTTCCCATAACAAGCGAGGATGTAAACAGCTAGAGGAAAGTTGCCCTTGAACTTTTTCAGAGAGAGGGACTTGCCAGCACCTTTGGTGGGCATTCTATGTTTTCCACCCTCATATAACATGGTTTCTGCCTGGAACAGACACAGTGTAGGCCAAGATGACACTGTTAGGGAGGGGTGCACTAGGGGAGTATATTCCAATGAGAGGGTAATGAATCTGGGGGTGAATAGCAGGTCAGCATAGAACTGGCACCTG